ATCCGGAGGAACGTGGCTCGCTCGAGGGCGAACCCGAAGCGGAGCAGGCCCAGCCAGCGGACGCCCGAGTTCCCCAGCCCCTCCCAGCGGAAGGCGGAGCCGTCCAGCACCAGCACGCGCTCGAGGTTGGCGTGCAGCGCCGCCTGCCGGGCCATCAGGCGCTGCGTGCACTGGCACTCGGCGTTGAAGGCGGCCATCTGCCGCTGGACCGTGCGCGAGGCCGCAAACTGCTGCTCGATCTCGCTGGTCGTTGGCACCGGGAGAGGAGGCGGTGGCGAGCGTACAGGAGGAGTAGCTTCCTGATGATGGCGGCCCGCACTCGGTAGAGCAGCATCCTGAGCACTCGGCAAGCGGACCTTTGCAGCAGACAGCATTTTGCCGCCACCCGTCGCACGGAAGAAGCCGACAAGCTGGGTGACGCAAGCGCCCAGAGCAAAGGCGAGGACGAGCTCGAAGGTACGCCGTCCCATGAAGGTAGATATCCTTGGCCGTGTTGGTGCTGCTCGCCGTCTCCGCCTCGCTCGCGAGCCCGGCGCTCCTCTCTTGCTGTCGGCAGGCAGGCCGCGTGTACTTGGCGCGCGAGGGAAGAAATTGTGCGCGAAAAGGAAAAGAAAGTTGCGCCGAAGTAGAAGAAATTCTGCAACGTGCAAAAGAAAACCTCCCGTGCGCAAGGCCGCCGCACTCGCTTCTCGGCGTCGTCATATCCGAACTCTGCAGCGCGAGCAAAGGAGCACATGTCGGATCCCATCGTTGCGATGGGCATGCCGGTGGCGGGCCCTTCCGTAGTCGCGGCGACAGCGGTCGACGCTGTCGCCGCTGCTCCCGAGCCCGACATGGCCCGGCTGCAGCGGGACGGCTTCCCGCCTGGCTTGGCGTTTGAGATGCACAAGTCGTCGCAAGCCTTCCCGCTGCGCATCTGGGTGGTGGACAACAGTGGCTCGATGAATGCGGGCGGCGGCTCGCGCATCGTCAAGAGCGGTGGCAAGCTCGCCCGCGTCGGCGCCACCCGCTGGCAGGAGCTCGGAGACGCCGTGGTGATGGCCGCCACCGTGAGCGAGACGCTGGGCGCACGGACTGACTTTCAGCTCCTCAACCCCACGCCCGCCGGCCAGACCTTCAGCGTCTGCGCGGGCGGAGGCAGCCACCTGCCCGTCCCCGCGGGCGTGGCTTGCGACGTCCCGAGGCTCAAGCAGGTGATGGGCGACTCTCCGCGCGGCACCACGCCGCTCACCGAGGCGGTCGAGAAGATCCTGGCCAACCTCTCGCCCGCCGCGGACAAGCTGCGAGCGCACGGCCAGCAAGTGGTTGTCGTGCTGGCGACCGACGGCCTGCCCAACGACGCCAGCTCCTTCCTCGCCGCGCTGCAGCGGCTGCAGCGGCTGCCCGTCTGGATGGTGGTGCGGCTGTGCACGGACGAGGACTCCGTCGTCGACTACTGGTCGAACCTCGACCGCTCCCTCGAGGCGCCGCTCGAGGTGAGCTCGACGACTTGGGAAGGGGCGGAGCTGCTGTTGAGGAAAGGGTGACTGATCGATCGATCGGTTGACAGGTGCTCGACGACCTCAAGGGCGAGGCGGAGGAGATCGCGAAGGTGTCTCCCTGGATCACGTGCCGCCCCCCGCCGCACACGCGCGCCAGGCAGCGGGCGCGTCTCTCCACTCCCCCCGCCGTGAGCAGGTACGGCCCGCCGCTGCACGCCGCGCGCGAGTTCG